TTGTCTATTCTGCTCCTGGCAGGGCCAAGAGAACCACTGAGCCTACGGCTGTAGCCACGGAACCAGACACGGCCAGCTCTGTGCCCCCTCGTCCTGCTGTGCCCCCCATGCCACGCTGTCCCCAAGGCCTATGCCACGCTGTCCCCAGGGCCTGTGCCACGCTGTGCTCTGGGCCTGTGCTGTCAGTGCCACCAGGGCCCACCTCTCTGCGAGTCCTGTGAGCCACTGAGCAGGTGTCCAGCTGAGGAGGCTGCTGGGCCCAGGGAAGCCTGGGTCCAAGGGCCTGGGAACCCTTCCTTGGGCCTGGGCCTTGGCCTGTGGTAGGTGGGCAGTGAGCTGTGTGGGTCAGCTGGGAGGACCCTGTGCAGGCTGCTTGCTGACTCATCACTCATTTGTCATTCTTGCAAAGTCAGGGAGCAGGGGAGGGGGAGGCTGGGAGCTCACAGCCCTGCAACAAGGCAACATAGAGGCACTGGGGGTGTTGGGGCTGGCAGTTCCAGGACCCACAGTCCTGCACAGCCTGGGGTCCTGCTCCCCCCGGCATGTGGCCAGGTGGCCTGAGACAAGCCAGAGCCATAGGGCCAGCACCACTTCCTGCCTCTGTCCACCGTGGCCTCTGGAGGCCCGGGCAACCAGGGGGGAACCCGCTGTGGTCTGGGGAGAGCCAGCCCCTCAGGGAACACGGCTGGGAGCTGCCGCAGGTCTCCCCTCACTCGCCAGGCAGGCAGCGCCCTGGGACTCTGGGGCCCAAGGGGGAGGGCCATGGGCACCTTTGAGAGGTTCGCCATGTTGGTGGTTGTCAGGAGTCTGGCTGGGGCGCCTAGAAGCCCCCTGTTGGGGTTCAAAGAGATCAAGTCAGACTCCAAGGTAAGTGGAATATGTTTATTCTACAGTTCTTGCCATAAACTGAACAGGAAGTGCTCAAAGTGAGAGGGTTTACAGCAAGTATCTATGTGACGGTGGGCAACTGCGTGACAGCGAATATTTCTTAAAAGATTTATATATTTTTATTGGAAATGCAGATATAAACAGATGAGGAGAAACAGAAAGGAAGATCTTCTGTCCAATGATTCACTCCCCAAGTGACTACAATGGCTGGAGCTGAGCCAATTTGAAACCAGGGGCTTTTCCAGGTCTCCCACGCGGGTGCAGGGTCCCAAGGCTTTGGGCCGTCCTCGACTGCTTTCCCAGGCCACAAGCAGGGAGCTAGATGGGAAGTGGGACTGCTGGGATTAGAACCGGCGCCCATATGGGATCCCAGTAAATGCAAGGTGAGGACTTTAACCACTATGCTATCATGATGCTGGGTCCGTGACAGTGAATATTAATGTGACAGCAGGCGTCTACATATGGCATCTATGTGACGGCGGGCAGCTGTGACGGCGAGTACCTGTGACGGCGGGTACCTGTGACGGTGGGCAGTTGTGACAGTGGGCAGCTGTGATGGTGGGCAGCTGTGATGGTGGGCAGCTGTGACGGTGGGCAGCTGTGACAGTGGGTACCTGTGATGGTGGGCAGCTGTGATGGTGGGCAGCTGTGACGGCGGGCAGCTGTGACAGCGGGCAGCTGTGACGGCGGGCAGCTGTGACGGTGGGCAGCTGTGATGGCAGCGGGTACCTGTGACGGTGGGCAGCTGTGATGGTGGGCAGCTGTGACAGCGGGTACCTGTGATGGTGGGCAGCTGTGACGGCGGGTACCTGTGACGGTGGGCAGCTGTGATGGTGGGCAGCTGTGACAGCGGGTACCTGTGACGGTGGGCAGCTGTGATGGCGGGTACCTGTGACGGTGGGCAGCTGTGACGGCAGGCAGCTGTGATGGCGGGCATCTACATGACACAAAGCAGAAGCAGCCAGTGAGGACTGACAGTGAAGAAGCAGACATATCTGACCTTATCACTTCAATGCAGGCAGTGGTGTGCAGCACAATTCAAAGGCTGTCTGTCCCTCCAGGAACCACCCACCCCCTGCCGGCCTCTTGTCTCTGGAAGCAGAGGGTTCCCCTAACAGGGTTCAGGTGAATCCTTGCAGGCAGTCAGCCCGACAATGGGCCCCTTCAGCCCCCTCCCCGCCCCAAGCTCACGGCTCTGCATGTCCCTCAGCATTGGAAACAAAAAGCAACCACTAAACACGGTGCTAAGATCCACGCTGCCCGTGCATGCAGCTCACCAGGATGGCCACCCAGGACACTGGTGCCCCTGCTCCCACCCCAGTCCAGCAGCCTGATCTCAAGGTGGACCCCAGGGGCATGGAGGGGCAGCCCAAAGGAGGGCAGTGGCCGGCGTGCCCGTCCCACAGGCCCTGCAGTCTGAGCTGACTGCCCTGGTGGCACTTCCTGGTTTACGGCTTTACTGGGTAATCCAGCCCCCACCTCTCCCTCCACCAACCCTGCGTGTTCTCAGCAGTGAGACATGATGGCTAACCACTTCCTTTTCCTTTTTTAAACAAAGATTATTATTACTATTATTATTATTATTATTATTATTAGAAAGTCAGGTCCAAGGAGTGAAGGAGAGACAAAGATCCTCCATCCACTGGTTCGCTCCCCAAGTGACCGCAACGGCCAGAGCTGAGCCGATCTGAAGCCAGGAGTCAGGAGCTTCTTCCAAGTCTCCCATGTGGGTGCAGGATCAAGACTCTGGGCCGTCCTTGACCATCTTCCCAGAGCACAAGCAGGGAGCTGGGTGGGCACTGGAGCAGTTGGCATGCGCAGCTATGGGTGGGTGACCGAGCAGTGACCGAGGGTGGCATCGGTGAGATTCAGCTGTGGCACTGGACCTACACCAGTTGGCACAAGACTTGGGCCAGGCCACTGTCGTCCCATCACCTCTCCCCGCCTGCCCACCTGTAGCTGCACCCTGGTGCGTGCCGACCATGAGGTTCTGTGCCGGGCTCATGAGCAAACTGGGACCCAGCCCCTACTGGGCTCCTTCCTGGGCTGGGCTGGCTGGGTTGTCCACACGGGCTAGGCCAGTCCCTCAGCACCTGATCCTCCCGGACTTCGTGACGCATGACAAGCTGTGGCTGTGATGCAAGTTAGGCCTCCAGCACCGGGATCCCATGTGGACACTGGCTCAAGTCCTGGCTATTCCACCTGCCATCCAGCTCCCTGCTAATGCGCCTGGGAGAGCAGCAGAGGACGGCCCACGTACTTGAGCCCTGCACCCACTTGGCTGACCGGAATGACACTCCCGGCTTGAGATGGGCCCAGCTCTGGCTGTTGTGGGAATTTGTGCAGTCAGCCAGAGGATGGAAGATCTCTCTGCTTTTCAAATAAATCTTAAAAAAAAAAAAAAAAAAAAAAGCTAGAGGGGTACCTGGGCCTAGGGGTAGTCCCTGCAGCTTAACAGCCCTGTCCCCAAGAGCATGGTTAGACGGTGCTTTTCCAACACTCGTGGGTGTCTGGGATAAGAGCCGGAGCACTGGTCCCTCCCTGCTCTGTGGGGTCCACCCTGAAAGCCGTCCAGCTCATGCCCCTGGCCAACCCCTCCCTTCCCGAGCGTCACACGAGGGGTGAGCACAGGGTCTATGAAAGACCCCATGCCAAGTGTCAGTGTGGTCCTTGAGCAGCTGCCAGGTCCCACTACTGCCCGGCACAGGGCCCCCAGAGCAGTGACCACCAGCCCGCACAGGACAGCCACTCCTGATTCCTAGAGCTGGGGCCCTGGAGGAGGGGCGCAGCTGGTGGTACAGCCAAGCAGCTGCCCTAGACACCCACTCGGGCTCCCCACAAGCTGGGCCCCTGGAGGCCACTAAGGCTTCCGTCATAGGACCAGAATCGAATGGTGAGAGACATGGGCCCACACGCTGTAAAGCTGGGACGGGCAAACACCCAGCCAACATCTGCTGGAACAGGGCTGAGGCTGAGAAAAGCCAGGCCCCTGGGGGTCAGGGCACGGTCCCCCACCCCTGGTGCCATCCCATCCCAGACCTGTGGAGGAGGGGCAGTCAGCAGAGCTGGGAGTACTTGGGCATGGGAGAGGAGGGACAGCTCGGCAGGGCCTCAGGTCTGCCAAGGCCACAGCCCCATGGGTGGTGAGAAGCAGGTACCCTGCCCTGGTTCACCTGCTCAGTGCCCAGCAGGGCCAGCGAGAGGCTGACACAGCAGTGCCTAGGGCCTGAGTGAGCAGAGGTGGGTGGAGACCCCGAGGCTCCAAGGGCCGTGTCCCAGAGGCTGTGTGAGGGGAACAGAGCTGGGCTGGTGCTGTGCGGGGTGGGGGCCCCCAGTCTCTTCCACTGCTGAGGTCGTAGTCAGGGCAGAAGGGGGACTACAGCGAGAGGACAGGGTGAGGACCAGACCACAGGAGCGGACCAAGGGCTGCCTGGGGCTCACAGTCAAGGCAGAGTGGTCATGTGGCGTCTGAGAGGTGGGCACATGGGCCCTGGGGGTTGGCAGGCGTAGCTGTATACCCGGGCACGAGTGGGGGCGGGTGGCCATGTGGCCCTGGGGCAGCATGGAGACTCAAAGGCTCCAGGAGCAGGAGGCACAGCTGAGGGGGTGACAGTGGCTGGGGACCTCTGGACGCTGTGGGGGAACACAGCTGGGGGTCCCTGCTAGCTTGGGGGTCGCAGGCATACAGGTGGCTCCACACCTCACTCCTCATGCAGCCCTGTAGAGCTTTGACTGGCTGAGGCCAGGAGGCCCACGGGATGCACACAGCTCCCGCAAGCCGCTGCCACCTCTCACAGGCTTGCCTCCAGGTTGGGGTGCAGGTTCGAGCCCCGCACCTCCGTGGCTCACCTTGTCCCTCACTAAGGCATCCTGGGCTGGGGACAGCCTGGAGATCCGGGCTCCTGCCTCCCCACTCAGCCTGCACCAGAAGCCAGGGAAGAGAGTGGTCGTATTTTTAGGGGTATTCCTGCTAAACCCTCTGACCTACGTGTCCGGGATGAGGCCCCACCTCCGACCCCGCCCCAACCGCCGGTCTCCTGGGTGGCCCGCCCAGCTCCACGCCCTGCGCGCAGGGCCAAAAAGCGGCCTCGGAGCGGCAGGTGCAGTGCGCCATGGCCTCCCTCGGGGACCAGGTGCGCACCTGGCAACGGGGCGTGCAGGCCGTGGCGTGCGGGGACTGGCCCGGCGCCCTGCACTTCTTCCGGGAGGTGCCCTCGTCTAAGATGAGCTTCAACGTGGGCTGCGTGCACTTGCTGGCTGGGGACCCCGAGGCTGCGCTGCGGGTGAGCTGGGGTTCCCGCAGGAGCGGGAGACAGAGCTAGGAAGCCTGTTTCCCACTGGACCCCTGCCCTTATTTCCACGTCCAGGCTGCTGCTCCAGGGAGTGTGGAAGGCGGGGGGGGGGGGGGGGGGGGGGGGGAACGGGGGGGGCGGGGTGCTGGGGGTCCCTGCCACCGTGGGAAAAGGTGGAGCCGCGGTAGTAGTGGCAGGAGCATCCTTGGACCCCTCCAAGCCTGTGTCACCAGCAGGGCTGTATACCTGTGCCAAGTGAAGCCCCCGCTGCCCTTCCAAGCTTCCTGTCCATCAACCACACTGTCCTGGGCAGTGCCCGGGGGTCAGGGTAACACAGCAGGGGCTGGGTGGAGCCCCGGCCTCTGGGAACAGCTCCCCCTTAAGGACTCCCTCAGGAGGGTGGCGGGCACTGGCCTGAGTCACTGGCCTCTTGAGTGACCCCTGACACTCGGCAATCAGGAAGCAGCGGGGAAGCCATCAGAGGGGGCAGGGCAAGAAGGGCAGGCACCCTGTGCTGGAGGGGGGCTGCCAACCGTGGGGAGAAAGGCACCTGGCCCCTCCCACGGCCATGCTGAGCAGGTGGCAGCGGTTACTGTGGGTGCCCCGGGGTGCTGGCTGCTGCCCTTCGGTGTGTATGGCCAGGCCCAGAGCCCCGACGGACCCCCTGGTGGCCTCCAGGAGTGGCTCTGACTCCTTTCTCTGTGCTCATGGCCAGCAGTGGCCTCAGACCCCCTGGAAGGCCCAGAGCTAGGCAGAGGCTCAAGTCCTGAGCTCCCGACCCCAGCAGGTGCAAGCTGGGCCAATGGACTCAGTGTACAGTGGCTCACCTTGGTGTCCTGTCCCCAGGCGTTTGATGATGCAGTGACTAAGGACCCCTGCCTGGCCATCGGTTTCCTCCAGCGAGGGGTGGCCAACTTCCAGTTGAAGAGGTAAGCACAGAAGGCTCCCTGCTGGTTCTGCCAGGGCTGGGGGAGCTACCAGGCCTCAGGGGGACAGAAAGGGACAGGAGGGGACGCCCACATCACTCACATGGGGCCTGGGTGTGACAGGAGGGGACAGGAGGGGACGCCCACGTCACCCACATGGGGCCTGGGTGTGACAGGAGGGGACAGGAGGGGACGCCCACGTCACCCACATGGGGCCTGGGTGTGACAGGAGGGGACAGGAGGGGACGCCCACGTCACTCACATGGGGCCTGGATGGGCTGGGAGGGGACAGGAAGAGACGCCCACGTCACCCACATGGAACTGGGTGTGATGGGAGCGGATGGGAGGGGACGCCCACGTCACTCACATGGGGCCTGGATGGGTTGCAGGTGATGCCCATGTTGGTCCCCTTCTTTATGGGGTCACTTGGCAGGTGCTGGGCAGCCTATTGTCTGGTCAGCACTGGAGGTCTGCCTAGAAGAGGTGGACTCTTCAGTGCGGGCAGTGGAGGCTCAGCTGTGCTAAAGACCCCAGTAGCAGGGAGGGAGGGCGTGCCAGGCTGTGTGCTTGCTTTAGAAAAGTCTGGGGTCCGACAGGACTCCCCAGCCCCACTTCCTCTCTGCCTCGTGTCCTGACCCCTGACCTGGCTGCCCCAGGTTCCAGGAAGCCCTGTCTGACTTCCGGGTGGCACAAGCACAGCTCAGGGGCAATACGGCCATCGATTACACACAGCTGGGCCTGCGGTTCAGGCTGCAGGCCTGGGAGGTAAGCGGCTCAGCTGCCCCTGTCTGCCTCGGCCAGCTAGGCTCATGGGCATGCGGTGGGGCTTGTGGGCACGTGGGCAGGGCTTGTGGGCATATGGGCGGGACTCGTGGGTGTGTAGGCGGGACTCATGGTCACTTGGGCAGGGCTCGTGGGCAGGACCTTCTGAGCATGGGCAGGCCTGTGGATGTGGTCAGGTTCCTGCTGGACAGTGCAACCTGAGAGTGCCAAGGGAGGGCCCCTCGGGGCAGTACAGGGTGGGTGGGGCTCGGCTCCTTCCTGGAACAGCTAAGCTGGGGGCCACACCCTCTTGGACACGTGCCCAGCTGTGGCCAGGAAGCCCCAGGAAGTTCCGGGAGCCAGGGTTGGTACCCACCTGGGGCACCTGGACCAAGACCCCTAACCCACACCTTGCAGGGAAGCCCCTTCCATGGGGAGGGTGCTGGGAATCCCTAGACCCCTACTAGGGTCCCTAGCACCATGGACCCTGAGCTCTGCCCATAGCACCCATGGGAACTGGGCCTCCAGGTGCCTGTGGGACCAGGGTAGTCACTGACCCCTGACCTCATCCCCAGGTGACACACAATGTGGCGGCTGTCCAGTGCCAGCTGGGGCTTTGGGCTGAGGCAGCCAGCAGCTTGACGGAGGCCATGGCCAAGCGGCCAGAGGGATCCTCTGATGGCCTGGACAATGCCCTGAGCCAGGTGCAGGTGAGGAGGGGAGGGGAGGAGTGAGAAGGAAGGAGAGATGGCATGGTCAGGGCTGGGCGTTGCTGGGGGCCTGGCAACAGGGTGGAGGGGAGCTGGACCCAGCACCATGGTGTGGGGCCCAGGATGGGCTGAGGGAGGGGCTGGGGTCCCCTGTGCCCTCCTGCTGTGAGGGAGGGGCTGGGGTCCCTGTGCCCTCCTGCCGTGAGGGAGGGGCTGGGTCCCTGTGCCCTCCTGCTGTGAGGGAGGGGCTGGGGTCCCCTGTGCCCTCCTGCTGTGAGGGAGGGGCTGGGGTCCCTGTGCCCTCCTGCCGTGAGGGAGGGGCTGTGTCCCTGTGCCCTCCTGCTGTGAGGGAGGGGCTGGGGTCCCTGTGCCCTCCTGCCGTGAGGGAGGGGCTGGGGTCCCTGTGCCCTCCTGCCGTGAGGGAGGGGCTGGGGTCCCTGTGCCCTCCTGCTGTGAGGGAGGGGCTGGGGTCCCTGTGCCCTCCTGCGTGGGGAGGGCTGGGGTCCCCTGTGCCCTCCTGCTGTGAGGGAGGGGCTGGGGTCCCCTGTGCCCTCCTGCCGTGAGGGAGGGGCTGGGGTCCCTGTGCCCTCCTGCTGTGAGGGAGGGGCTGGGGTCCCTGTGCCCTCCTGCTGTGAGGGTGGGATCTGCATCAGTTCCCCTCCCCCTTCTTCCCCATTCTCTCCCAGGCCCGGACCCCACTGCAGCTGAGGCAGGTCCCCAGGGGTGAGGTCTTCCGGCCCCACAAGCGGTACCTGGAGCATCTGGAGCCTGTGGAGTTCCTGGGCAAGGCCAAGGTTGGGGAGGCGAGTGGGAGGCAGCCACCCCTGGCCAGCCTGGAGCTGCTGCACCTTTGGCCTCTGCTGACCACAGGGCATTGGAGTGGGGCAGGAGGGCGGGGTGTTGGCCTGGCTGCCTGCACCTTTGCTAACCACTGACTGGCTGACCCTTCCTAGGTGATGGCCTCGCAGGAGGGCCCTAGCCCAGATGTGCAGCCTCCACAGCCACAGCTGGGCCCTCAGGACCGTCCACTGCCAAGGGAAGGAAGAACTGTGGACGCTGTGAGCCCGCTCAACTCCCCCCATACACACTATAATGGGACAGGGTCGGGGGGCGCACTCTGCCCTCCCTGAGTGGGGTCTAGGGCAGGCAGGGGTGCCCACTTTTGCTGAACCTCTGCCCTGACAGGGACTGGGAGCCAATGGGAGGTGAGGAGGAGGAGAGGGAGGGGAGGAGGGGGAGGAAGTGAGGAGGGGGAGGAGGTGAGGACGGATGGGAGGGAGGAGGGGAGGAGGGGGAGAGGAGGAGGTGAGGAGGCAGTGAGACGGAGGAGGTGAGCAGGGGTGAAGGGGTGAGGTGAGGAGCAAATGGGAAGAGTTCTGGAATGCCCTATTGCTGGGGAGTTGCAGGTGGGGGCTGGCTGCTGCAGGACCGGAGCCAGAGGGCACAGCGGAGGGCAGTGGCCCGGCCTGCAGTGTCCCTGGTGCCCTGTGGTCATGGCCGAGCCTCCCACTGCCCGCTGCGCAGTGCAGTGTTCCCTCATGGGGAGCCGCACTCACAGAGCCTGTGGGGTTTGGTCTTCAAGATTTATTTACACATTTGGAAGACAAGGACAGGGAAAAGTGACTTCTGCTGGGTCCTTCTGCAGTGGCCAGGGTCAGGCTGGGCCCCATGGGAGTCCCCTCAGCTCCCGTGGGTGTGGGCACTCGGCAACAGCAGCCAGCACCCTGAGGGGCACGTGAGCCCCGCCACCCCTGCCCCAGGCTCTGGGGTCCCTCCAGTGCCAACCCTCCTTTTTCTTGCAGAGGCTCCCAGTGCAGCAGGCTGGCAGGCAGCTTCCTTGGCCCGTAGGTGAGCAGTCCTGGGGAGGGGCTGCTGAGGGGGAGGGCAGGGGCAGAGACCCCTGGAATCTCAAGTCTCGTCCTTCCTGCAGGGCCCTGCGCAGCTGAGGACCCCTCAGAGGCTGGGGTAAGAGCTTCCCTCCCCGTCACCCCGCCTCGCAGCTGCCAATCACGCTGAGGGAGGGGCTGCTGCAGCCTCAGCCGCCCCCTTCTGCCCGGCCCAGGGCACTGCTGAGGAAGACCCCGAGGCCCTGGTGCCAGTCACCGTGCAGTGTGTGTTCACCGTGGCGCTGAGGGTCCCACGGGGAGCTGACCTGTCCACCCTGCGGGCTCTGTTGGGTCAGGCCCTCCCATCCCAGGCCCAGCTAGGCCAGCTCAGGTGAGCTTGGAGGGCTCCCTGCTGCAGGGGCAACAGTTGGAGGGTGCTGGACGCGGCAGGGTCAGAGGTCAGCACTCCCTTGCTGACCCCCAGGACTGCCTCCACAGCTGTCCAGCCCCAGGTGATGCCAGCTCCTGGGTACCCATCTATGGGGAGGAGTCGCTGTGGAAGGCATGGCAGGCGGCCGGCCCTGGGGGACTGCGGCTCCAGTGCAAGGTAAGGAGGTCTTGGGGTAGGCCAGAGGGCCAGAGATGGGGAGGGGGAGGCATGGACACGGGGAGGGGAGTGGTCAGCATGGGGAGGGAGGGGTCAGCATGGGCAGGGAGGGGTGCATGGGGCTGGGCCAGGGCTCGGTCAGCAGCAGAGACTCGGCTGGCTGTGGTCACTGGGTCACTGACGTCATAGCCTCAGCGGGGCCTCCTGTGGGTCTAGGGCGCCGGGGGCCGGCCCGTGCTCTACCAGGTGGTGGCCCAGCACCGCTACGCAGCCCAGGGCCCTGAGGACCTGGACCTGTTGCCCGGGGACAAGGTGGATGTCCTCTGTGAAGGTGGGCAAGCGTCATGTGACCCTGGGGGCGGGCTTCCCTGACACCCGGCCCTGCAGAGCTGTAAGCTTTGGCCTCTCCACAGTGGATGAGGCCTGGTTGGAGGGACACCGCGATGGCCACGTTGGCATTTTCCCTACCTGCTTCGTGGTGCCAGCTGGCGGGCGCCTCTGAGGAGCCAAGGAGCGAGAGCAGAGTGAATAAAAACTCGGTCTGGGGCAGCACAGTCTATTTTGTGGGCCCGGAGGGGGCAGGGGTGTGGGCATCCCTGCTAGTCCTGGGGCCAGAAGAGCTGGACCGCGAAAGCCCCCAGGATGGCCACGAGGGTCAGCACCGCGAAGACCACGCCCGCCACCCAGACGCCCGGGTGTTGGGCCCGCCACTGGGCCGGGGCCTCGGAGGGGAGGAGGCCGGTGAGGTTGAGCATGTAGCCCAGCGTCCAGCCCAGGTCGGTGCCGTCAGCCTGTGGGACAAGGGGTGCTCAGGACTGCGGGGCCACGTGAGGAGCGCCTGCCTGCGCCTGGCTGTGCATGGGGGCATGTGTCACCTGCGTCCGGAACTTGATGCTGACCCAGGTCTCCTGGCTGAAGCCGAAGCCGTCTAGTAACAGCGTCAGCACGTACAACCCGGAGGCACAGTAGTCTCGCAGCCAGAGCCCCTGCCCGGGGTAGCTGTCCTCCACCTGGGTGGGTGGGCGAGTGAGGCTGGGACAGCACCCGGCCCTCCCTCCTTCCCCACCCGGGGCCAGCCTTGTGGCTGTGACCTCAGTTCCCACCCCGCGCCACCTCCCCGCCCCACAGCCCCGACACGGGTCCCCACCAGCCCAGCCCAGTCCACCACAGGGGTCCCCACCTCCCCTGTCCAGCCCAGTCCGGCAGGGGGGTCGCCTCCCCACCCACCAGCTTCCAGGATCTCTGGCAGAAAGCCCAGATGGTGGCGTTGGTGGTGTCCAAAGTCTGCCCAGCGGTCAGGTTGAGGAAGTGAAAGGTGTGGTAAAAGCTGGAGAAGGCCTGGGGACGGGAGAAGAGCCACTGGGCCAGGCCGTCCCCAGCCCTGGGCGTGCGGGGCGCGCGCGGGCAGGCGGGCACTCACGTAGAAGGGGCCGCGCACGGGCGGCTGGTAGACCCCGTCGAAGGCGCAATCGGCCCGGCCCACGCAGCTGGAGAAGTTGAAGAGCGTCCGAATGGCGGCGACGCAGGCCGCGGGGTTGCCCGTCCCCTCCACCGTCAGGTTCTGCGAGAGGCCCGGGCTCGGCGGATCGCGCACGCATGGGGACTCGTACAGGACGCCCGGGGCCAGCGTGGCCCGGTAGCCGCTGTGGTAGCACGGGTGGCGAACAGGACCGGTTGGGTTTCCCTGTGGGAAGCGGGACCTGGAGCAAGGGCCAGCGGGGTGCGCTGCCCCACCCCGCACCCCGGGGGGAGCCTGACCTGCACCAGGCCCACCAGCAGCCTGAGCAGCGCTTGGTCACGCCCGAAGCACAGATGGCTGTGTGCGTAGAGGCTGTGCGTGGTGCCGTACAGGCGGAAGGTGGCCTGGCTGCGCGCGTCCAGGACTGGGCCCTCTGGCACGAAGCTGATCTGGGTGGACGCCCCGCCCAGGTCCAGGGCGCCCACCAGGGCCTCCTCCACGGGCCGGATCCACTTCCCAACCGCGGAGTACTGGTCACACACAGGGCAGGCTCAGCCCGCATCCCGGTTCCCGACCCCCTGGCCAAGCCCCCAGGCTACCCTGCCCCACCTTAACCAGCCTGCCCAACAGGTAATTGGCCGTGATCCACCCGTAGGCGCCTTCATCCCGCCCGCTCAGGATCTCGGCACCCCGGAAATCCAGAGGGGACTGGGCCAGGACTTGGGACACGGCATCGAAGACCTCCGCGGCCTGGGAGCTGTTCTTCTGGCTGGGTGGAGAGGACGACCCGGCTGGAGCCCCAGCGCACAGCCTCCACCGCGTCCGCAGGCCTGCCGGGATGTGGGCATACCTGAGCAGTCGCATACCAGCCGTGGCCCCCAGGAACAGTGGCGTCTCCCGGTGCTGGGCCTGCGGGATGTGCGCCACCGCCTCCTCCAGGCAGTCCCGCAGGCTCTCGGCAGCTCCCAGGGGGTTGGCCGCATACGAGGAGATTCCCCGGCCTGGAAAGCAACACACCGTGGGCGGGACTCACTCTGTGGCTCCGCTCCTCCCGTGCCCCTGGTCCTGCAGGAGAGGGACGGGGCAGTGCCCTGCGGAGGGGAAGAGGCGGGACCCGCACCCTGAGCTGGGTACGTGGGCCGTGGGCCCGGGCAGAGGCTGGGCCGCCTCCCAAACACGCACCGCGGTGGACCCGGCCCGAGGCGGACGGGCCGCTCACCTTGTGCCCGGCAGGCCAGCGCCTGGCTGACCACTCCCGTGTTGTTCTCTTTGTCTGCCGGCCACTGGTACAGGAAGAGCGAGGTGTGCGAGGAGCCCGCGTCCAGCACGACCCCGAACTAGGGGTGGGTGATAGAGGACGGGTTATGGGCCGGTCCGGCGCCCTCAGCCCCGCCCCCGCACCCCAGCTCCCGCACCTTGGTGGTTGTGGGCAGGAGGACACTTGTGGCCTCCACCAGGAGGAGAATGAGGGTCGTGAGGCCCGCGACGGCCGCGACCCCCAGCAGAGCCGTGAAGGTCTGCTCCCTGGGCCCCATGGGGGCGGCGGGGCAGCGTGCGCTTCTGTGCCAAGGAGCAAAAGGAGAGAGATGAGGAGGTGAGGGAGTCTGGTTCTCCCTCCCGCAGGCCCCCTGCAAGCCATGCCCAGGCACCTGACTCTGCAAGGCTGCCTGCCAGCAGTGTCAGTGGAAGCTGGATCTACAGCTGGATGAGGGTCTCGCCATCACTCCTGAGCCACCCCCATGCAGGGTGGGAGCAGACTCCAGCCCCAGGGGTTCAGTGCCCTCCTGGGCAGCTGGCTGAGGCTGGCACAGCTGCGGTGGGGCTTGTGGCAGGGCCCAACCCCAGTCCAGCTCCGGATAGGGAGTCCAGCCTGCTGCGGGTACCATGAGTGCTGGGCAGCCCACACTGGGTGCTGCTGCTGTCCCAGCCTGTGAGATGCAGGCCCTCCGGCCCCCGACATCCCCCCTGGGGCCTCTTGGCACTGTCCACTCACACATGCTGGCCTGAGCCCATTTAGGGAGGACACGCGGCACCTGGCCTTGGGCCCGGCCACCGCCAGCTACAGGAACAAACAGGTGACGCCACCTCCCAGGTAGGCAGCTGCTGACCCCCAACTTCATCCCAGAGGCACTGCACCCAGGGGCCCCCAGAACTGCACTTCCCTCCCGGCCCCCAACTCTCACCTGGGGTGCCTGCTCACCAGCCGCTGAGGAAGCTCACACTGGAACTCCACTGGGCACCTGCTACGTCCAGCCCAGCCTCCGCCCACCTGAACCTGGGTCAGCAGCCAGAGGCCATCCGGACGCTGCCCGGGTCACTGGCCCGGTGGAGGGGGCAGGGCGTTAACTTCTGCAGCGACTGTGTGTGGGGGGGTCAGGACTGCCCTGGCTGCCCAGGAGGCTGTGCCCAGGGAGGCTCCACCCTTCTGCGGAGAGCACTTCCCCCTCCGCCTGCCCAGTCGCCGGTGCCAACCCAGGAGGGACCCGGCTGGAGGTCAGCTGAGCAGAGGGACCTGATGGCAACAGTGGACGCTGTTTCTCCGCTTGTTCTGGTGGTTTATTTTTACTTTATTGGGTAGAGATTTGTGTCTGCTGGTTCTCACTCCAGACTGCATTGGGGTTTTCAATATAACTGCAGGAGCTCATGGGGGGAAGGGATGGTAGGTAAGAGGGGAAGGGGGATGGGAGCTGACGGGGGAGGGGATAGTAGGTGACAGGGTGGAGCAGGAGCCAACCTGGGTGGGGACGGGAGCTGACCTGGGGACGCAGGAGCCCACTCAGGGACCTGACCTGGGGGATCCTGCAAGCAGCGCCCTGGCTGTCTGTTTTGCATCTCCCAAGGGTGCTGAGCCCCTGTTGCTGCTCACCAGGGGTCTGGCTGTCCCCCACCCCTGTGTAGTCACTAGTCTAAGTATAGTCACCTGGAAGCAGGTGGAGCCCAAGGGCTTCAGGCTGGACCCTCGCAGGCCCTGCCTGGACGTGGCCATGATCTGTCCTGGCAGAGGGCGGGTCCCTGCCATCTTGAGCCCTTCTTTCCCACTTTGGTACAGGGTCCCCAGTACTTGGATCATCCTCTGCTGCTTTCCCACGGGCACGCGCAGATGGGAAGCAGAGCAGTCGGGACTTGAACCAGTGTCCACAGGGAATGACAGCCTCAGCGGCTGTGTCTTCTCCATGAAGGCGCCTATTGTAGCCACTCTTCTGCCATGAAGGCTGCGGGGGGGGGCAGGGGTCATGTGTGTGCACACTGGCTCCTTGGGCAGCCCTGCACCTGGGGAACCCGCTGGGGCCCAGCCTGCCTGGGCTGCATTTTCCTCAGGGTCCTGTGTCCCGGTGACACCAAGGCCGGTGTGTGGGTTCAGCCACTCCTGTCTCCCCCCATGCGAACAGGTGTAAACGCCTCCGTCCTCCCACTCCCAATTCGTCTGTCATTACCTTGGGAGGGTTCTGGAAGCAGCTGTGGCCGGTCGCAGTTTGTTTATTCGAAAGGTGGAGCATGAGGGACACACGTCTCCCATCTGCTGGTTCACACCCAGAATGGCCACAACTGCCGGGCGCGGCCAGGCTGGAGCTGGGTGCTCTGCCCGGCCCGGGAGCCTGGGGATTTGGGCTGTCCTGGGCTGCTTCCCCAGGGGCACCAGCAGGGAGCTGGGCAGGAAGGGGAGCAGCAGGGACCCCGACGGCATGACCATGTGGGACGGCTGCCTGTGACGCCCTCCTTGTGGCAGCTTCTGCGTTGGCTGTGTGTACCTGGTGAGCTGCTGACAGCCTGAGCTCCGAGCTAGAGTGCATCCCCTCTGGGCTTGTGGCTTGTCTTCTGCTGTCCTCTCCTCTCGGGTAAAGTGTCCCCAGAGTCCCTGCTTGTCACTAGTGGCCTAGGACATTGCCAGTGTCACTTCTGAGATTGGGATTTTTAAAAATTATTTTTCATTTTATTTGGAAACCACACACTGGCCCCCTTCCCAAATGCCTGTAGTAGTTGGTGCTGGGGCCAGGGCAAAAACTGAAGGCCAGAAGCCCAAGCTGGGTCTCCCACATGGGCAGCAGGAGCCCAAGGCCGTGGAGGCACCTCTGCGACCTCCTGGTAATGCACGAGGTTGCACCGGGGCTTGAACCAAGGCACGCTGAGGCTCTGGCCGCCCAGGTACGTACTGGGCTCTATCTTGGGGCTGTGTTGAAGTGGATCTTCCACGGGGTTGTTGGAACCAATGCCACGGCCCGGCACATTAGGTTGCTGCCTGTGGTACCAGCATCTCATATGGGATGCAGAGTCCCAGCTGTTCCACTGCCAACCCAGCTCCCTATTTATGCGCCTGCAGTAGAGGATGGTGCAGGGCTTTGGGCCTCCACATCCACGAGGGAGACCTGGATGAAGCTCCAGGTGCCTGCTGTTGCCCGCTGGCCATAGCAGCCATCTGGGGAGTGAACCAGTGCATGGAAGGCCTGCCTGTTGCTTTGTCCTTTAGGTTTCCTGGGGGCCCTGAAGGTATGATGAGGTCAGACGCGCATGAATGGGATGAACATGGTGTCTACTCCATGGTGGCCACCATCGGGGAGGTGGTGGCTGTGGTCTGGGCAGGGCCTTGTCTTACTCAGCTTCTGAGGGAGGTACACAGCTTGGAGGGCTGGGGACGCTGCTGAGATGGGACACACGCAGGGCCCCTCCCGCCTGCTGGTCCCTACCCCCTCCTGCCAAGTGCCCAACAGCCAGGACAAAGCCACACAGGGAGCACACAGGGCTGCAGCCTGCAGGTGCTGGGTGGGAGCTGGGGAGGAGCAGGTGCGGGATGAGGGACAGGGCAGCACCAGCAAGGGCGGCAGCACAGGCTCACACGAGTCCAGTTTTCCCCTGCTCTGGCACGCACTCGTGCGTGACATTCCTGCTAGCCTGGCACGTGTCGCGTTCCCCCATGGGCTTTCCTGTGGTCTTGTTGCTGCTGAGGGTTCTGGCCGTGGTTCTGGTCTTGCCCCACTGCTGGCAGTGTTGCTGTGTGGACAGAATTGGAAGCGGGAGGGAGCCCCTGGCCCAGTCCACCTGCGCCTGCCCAGCCCCCAAGCCGCCTCCCACTCAGGGCTTTATTGCAGGAACCACAGTTGAACTCTGTCCCTGCCCTGCTGTGCTCTGCCCCAGGCTGCCATTGGGTCACCTCGGGGAGGCCAGCACCCACCAAGGCCCCAGGCGGAACAACCGGCTGCCCCCGAGAGCTGGGGGACTGTGGGGTGTGCCGGTAGTAAGGGACACTGCACCAGTTCACACCGACAGGGCTCGGCCTGGCAGCTGGAACACATTTCCCCTTGCTGGTCACACCCTGGCGAGTGGGCACTGCACAAGTGGTGGACAGCCAGACAGATGCCGTCACAGGCTCAGGACTTAGGATTGGAGCATCAGGGCCAGGGTGCCCCTTGCCCTGCAGCTCAGTGGCCAGCACGGGCTGCAGGGTCCCCACTCTGCCCCCGGGCCATGTGGGAACCCAGAGAAAGCTGGAGGCACCCCAGGGTGTGGGGCCCCAGGAAGGTCCCCTCCTGTGTCTTTGGAACCCTGGCCTCCAGCAGCCTGAACTTGATCGGCTGAGGGCATGGCCAGCATCCCAAGGCTACACTCTGGCTCTAGTGGGGGGCAGAGGAGGTGGGGGTCCCTTTCCAGGAACACCCTGATCACACACCTCCCTAAGTCATGGCAGCAGTCCCCTGCCAGGCCCAGGTGGGCAGGAGCTAACACAGCAACCTCAGCCCGTGTCCCCATATCCTACACACCCCACCCTCACGAGGGAGCCCCCTGCCAGGCCCAGGTGGGCAGGAGCTCACGCAGAGACCCCAGCCCGTGTCCCCCAGATCATACACACCCCACCCTCACGAGGGAGCCCCCTGCCAGGCCCAGGTGGGCAGGAGCTCACGCGGAGACCTCAGCACGTGTCCCCAGATGGCTCCAACAGGCAGGGCCCAGGCAGTGGCCGCAGCGCAGGGTCAGGTTTAATGGTCACTTTAAGGGGGTCGTACACGGTTTCCTGCCCGGGTGCCCTCGGGACCCCAGGTTCTGTCAGAGGGGGGCCTGCCCCCAAGCCCGTGATGGACACCAGGGCACTGGGCCAGGCCTCAATGCTGGCCAAGGCTGAACTCGGCAACAGCAGCATAAGACAGCTTGGAGCTCACTGGGAAGTGGCTGTTGCCGGCCCTCCAGACCACCGGAGCCTGGCCGCGGTGCTGGCTGAGGTGGGAGGGAACAGGGGCGGGCGGGATGAAGCGGCCGGTGAGACCAGGTGGACGTTGACCCTGGTGCTGGTGATCGGAGGGCAGGGCGGGCGGCTAGCCGACTTTGGGGGCTGTGTCCCCTGCAGCTGGGGTGGGGGGGGAATTGCACTTATTTCTAGGAGCCCCTCGGACGGATGCCCGTCCAGCCTCCAGGCGAGGCAGGCGGGTCCCCCTTGGGCGCCAGGGCCGTCTGAGAACCTGAGCAGTGTCTGAGGGTCCCTGAAGCAGCTCCGCGGGAGCTTGGGCCGCAGGGTCTTGGGGAGAGGGCCGGCCCAGTCCCAGGTGCCTGGATCACCAGGGGCAGCCCTGGGGGACAGCCCAGCCCCTCACAGGACACCATCAAAGTCCAGCAGCTTCGAGTGCTGGCGGCCCTTCCACAGGCGATACAGCCGGAAGTCGAAGTAGGTCTCGATCATGGCCTTCCCTAGGGCAGCAGGGTGGAGTGTAACTCAGCCCTGGGGGCGCCGCGGCTGCCCCAAACCCACCCCTGCCCTGCCACAGCCCCATCCCCTGGCCCTTCCTCGGCCCAGTCTAGGCTGGCTCACCTTGGGCCGACAGCTCCAGGGGGGATTCGAAGGTGACCCTCTGCGGGGTCATGAGGCTCCTGAGGTTCTGGAACAGCTGTGGGAAGGGCCAGGGCTGAGTGTGGGCGCGGAGGAGGCTGGGGGCGCGGGGGGCGGGGCCTCACCTTCTCCCCGTTGGGGTTTCCCAGGATGTAGCAGCCCATGACGTGGATGACGTTGGGCTCTGGGTTCACTTTGCTCATCAGGCGGCTCAGCCGTTTCCAGAAGCTGGGGTGGAGGGACAGGGCCTTCAGTCCAGGGCCAGGGCACAGGGTCCTCCCCACCCAAAGTCCAGGGTTCAGGCCCCCTTTCCGCCCAAGGTCCAGGATTCAGGACCCTCTCCCACCCAAGGGTCAGGGTTCAGGGGCATCCCTCGCCCAGTGTCCAGGGTTCAGAGACGCCCCCGCCCGAGGTCCAGGATTCAGGACCCTCTCCCACCCGAGGGTCAGGGTTCAGGGGCATCCCTCGCCCAGTGTCCAGGGTTCAGAGACGCCCCCGCCCGAGGTCCAGGATTCAGGACCCTCTCCCACCCGAGGGTCAGGGTTCAGGGGCATCCCTCGCCCAGTGTCCAGGGTTCAGAGACGCCCCCGCCCGAGGTCCAAGATTCAGGACCCTCTCCCACCCGAGGGTCAGGGTTCAGGGGCATCCCTCGCCCAGTGTCCAGGGTTCAGAGACGCCCCCGCCCGAGGTCCAGGATTCAGGACCCTCTCCCACCCGAGGGTCAGGGTTCAGGGGCATCCCTCGCCCAGTGTCCAGGGTTCAGAGACGCCCCCGCCCGAGGTCCAGGATTCAGGACCCTCTCCCACCCGAGGGTCAGGGTTCAGGGGCATCCCTCGCCCAGTGTCCAGGGTTCAGGGGCATCCCCCCCGCCCGAGGTCCAGCCCTCTCACTGGATCATGTCCTCTTCCTTTTCCACTTTGGCGAAGGTGGCCACCTTGTTCTTGAGCAGGTACAAGTGCCCGGGGCCTCCCTGGAAGAGACCGGAGAGGCCGTCACGGGGAGGTCAGGGTCCGGCCCAGTGGTCATCAGAGGGGGTGGCCAGTCTGACCCGGCCCCACCTTTGCCCACCTTTGCACCAGACCCACCTGGCAGAAGATGAGCATCTTCCAGATGCGCGCCCCCTTGTGGTAGGTGTTGAGCTTCTTTTCAATCTCCTCTGTGGGCAGAACTGTGAGCAGGCTGCTGTCCTGGTCCTTGGCCCCTCTCGCCACCCTCCCTGCCCGGGGCTTTGTAGGGCACATACCCAGGATGTCCTCGAAGGTCGCATGCTCGTGGTCCTGGGGACAGACACAGGCACAAGACCCAATCAGGGTTCTGGGACCAATTACATGGAGGATGGGGTGATGGGCTGTGGAGGGGCTGGGGCCGAGGCATGGAAAGGAGGACCAGGATGATGGGTTGTGGAGGAGCTGGGGCGGAAGTATGGAAGGGAGGACCAGGGAGATAGGCTGGGGGGCAGGCAGAACATGCAATGTGTAGGGGTGAGTGGGACAGGGTGGGAGACACAGGCGATTGGCGTGATGGCTGGTGATGGCAGGGCGTGCAGTGGGCAGGGCAGGCGGGCACTCATAGAGGAAGGGGTGGTGGACGGCGTACAGTGGGCAGGGCACTCACGTAGAGGATGGGGATGATGGACGGGTCATCCCTGCGTATAATGGTCGGGATGTACTCAGCTTTGGGCACCTTAGAGGAGATTAGCTGGAGAAGACAGACCCAAGTGAGGGGTTCAAGCCACCCAGAGCCCAGAGACCCCAAGGCAAGGCAAAGCGCTGTCCAGCCGCTGCCTCTCCACCCCCAGTACCCTGGGGCATGCTCTGCCTGACTCACCATGACCTTGGGGGGCACAAAGCCCTCTGCGCTGCAGGCCACGGCTTCCAGCCCCTTCTCGGCCTCCCAGTCCAGGTCCTCAAAGGCCTCCTCCAGCGTGCAGTGTGAGCCCTGCAGGTCGCTGCCTGCGGGGCGGAGGGTCACAGGTGGTCAGGCAGGCGCAGCTCTCTGCAGCCCCGCGACCCACGGAGCTATGCACCGGACACTTACTGTCTCGGGAATCATGGGAAGTGTCGGCTTTCATGGGGGTGGGGTCGCTCCAGGACCTGCTGAAGCTCCGCTCTCTGCGCTCAGCAAACGCTGGGGGAGAAAACCCTCCTGAGTGAGCGGCGACGCATGCGCGCCCAGCCGCGCCGCCCGTGCCCACACTTACTCTGCGCCTTCACTCGCCGGCTGCCCACCATGCGCAAGTGCTTGCGGAAGTTCCTGCGGGAGGAAGCTCTGGCTGAAGACCCCCGCGGTCAGACAGCACTTAGCCTCCGGTACACCCACACCCCGGGAAGGCACAATGCTGGGTCTGCCGCCTGCCCAGTGCCCCCTGGGGCGCTTCCCCCCCACCCCCGGCTGAGCCCAGGCCAGACACGCCCTGGTGGCGCCCATCCAGCCTCTGGCCCTACCTCTGGATCACGGAGGCGGAATCGTGTTCCCGTTTGCGGCGCTTCCTCTCCGCGTAACCCCTGAACACCCTGGGGGACCGCAGCAAGTCAGTGCGGACAGAGGTACAAGCAGAGGGGCCAGTGGGTGCACGGCCAGCCTGGCCCTGCGTGGGAGGGCAGGCTCCCCTGGGCGTCCAGCCCTGTGTGGGAGGGCAGGGTGCCCCTTGGGAGGTGGGAGGTGGGAGGGCAGGCTCCCCTGGGCAGCGGGTGGGGCATCCTGGGGTACAGGGGTTCATGGGTACTTACGAGATGCTGAGGGCCGAGTACGGGCGGGGGCAGAGGGGGAAAGAAGATGTAGTGAGCCCTGCCCTGTGGGGGTATTTCCTGTGCCCCAGTCCCTCTCACCCAACCCTCCTGGGGTAGCCCCAGCTGGGCAGTGGACGCTGGGGGTACAGGGCCCTGCCTCCAGCTGCTGGGTCCTGGCCAGACTAGGCCGGGGCTGGGGGCCTGAGCCTGGGGGTAGGACGGAGTCTCCTGCAGCCAGGGATGCCCTTTGACAGGAGCCCCAAAGACAGGGAACCCTGAGCGAGGCAGACAAGGTCAGCGGTCAGGTGGCCAGAAGAAGCACCCCGCACCCATGGTTCCAATCACTGCATTCCCAGGGCAGGGACAGCCCACGGGGCACAGACTGAGTGGGATGGGGGGCCTGGGTGAGAGGCTGCCTGAGAGCCTGGGCTAGGGGAGACCTAGGTTGGGGGGACTGAACTGTGGGGGCCTGGACTGACTGGGGTGCTGCAGGGACTGGGCTAGGGGAACTGGACTGTGAGAGCCTGGGCTGGGGGAGGCTAGGTTGTTGGGGGGGTGCTGAGCTGTGGGGGCCTGGAGGGACTGGGGGTAGCTGTGGGAGGTTTGGGACTGTTGGGGGCTGGGTTGGGGGTGCTGGAAGGACCGGGGTGACCACGGCTGGGCCAACTCACGCTTGCATAGTTGTGGTGGCCGTATGGAAGCTGAAGAGGTTCTCCTTGGGAAACCAGGTGCGGATGGGGACGTCGTCTGGGGGACAGTAGGGGAGAGGGTGGGCAGGGGCCTCTCTGGGGGTCCCTTACAGAGACCCAGCCCAGAAATCAGAGGCCCGTGGGGAGGCCATTCCTGAGCACAGGCTGCTAAGAACCCCCTTCCTGGCTACCTTCGGCAATGCCAGCCCAGCCTCTTCCTGAGGCCCAAGAAGGCGGCTGTGGCCCAGGTGAGGCAGCTAGAGCCGCCACAAGGCGCTGCAGGTGTGGGAGGGGTCACTGGCTGCCTGGACTCCACATCCTCCCCCGGGGCTTCACACAGCAGCCCCCCCCCCAGGCTCCACACGCTCCCCAGCCCCCCAGCCCCCAGCAGTTTCCAAAGGGTGAGAAGACCTCCTGGCCCCTCCACAGGAAGCACTGGCAGGTGCCCGTGGACTGGGCAAGGGCCCAGGGAGGTGGGGGAGGCAGCTTTCCTTCCCAGGGCCCACAGCTGACCCTGCCCATGTCACTCACCGGACACTCGATCCACGCTGTACATCCGCTCCAGCTTCTTGGGGCGGCCGGAAACATCCTCGGGCAGGGGGGGCTGGTCAGGGCCGAAGGCCTGCGGGGAGGGACTGGGGGCCCGCTGGGCGCAGCCGGGGCACTCCTTGGAGCCCTGGCGGCTGCCTGCCCAGCTCTGGCAGGGCCTGCTGGTGGCCTCTGGGCTGCCGCCGGGGCTGGCGCGCAGGGGCTGACTGTGGTGGTGGGGATGGTGCTCCCGCGGCCTGCGTCCCTGCACCACGGTCAGCTCGATGGCCTCCGCCTTGGGGCTGGGCAGCAGGGTGGGCTCCCCGGAGATGGTGTACACACGGGGCTGGGGGCCCTCACTGGCCGGCTGCCTGCTGACGCCATCTTCCACCAGGCCGCTCTCGTAGCGGCCGTTGGAGACCAGGGAGAGGCGGCGCTTGTTCTGGGGGGCTGGCTGCATTTCAGGGGACCCATCGTGGCCAGAGTAGGCGTCAGCCAGCAGGTGGTCTGGGGAAGGGGGAGAGGCATCCTGAGGCTGGGTACGCTGGGCAGGCGGAGCAAGCCCCAAGCCCCTGGCTCCCCAAGGCAGCTGGGGGCAGGGTGGTGGCAGCGGCACGACCTGTGCCCGCGCGGTAGGAGCGAGCCTGCCACCCCCAGCCGACGCGGCATCGCCCGCCGGTGCCAACTTCTCCCCTCCCCCCCACCAGCTGGCCCTCGGAGACAACGGTGCCAGCCCTGGGGGTGCCAGGAGGCCCGTTGCCATGCCAACGGCCCAGGCGGGGTGGGTGCCATGGTGACGAGTGATCCAGCTCCTGGGGTTCCGGGCCAGCGAGGGCAGGGGATGCGGGGAAGTGGCCCAGCAGAGCCGGGCCTCCGGGGGTGCGGGGTCGGGGAGCTGGGCTCGGGGCTGGCGCCGCCCCTCTCGCCCCTACCTGAGCCGTTGCGGTGGTCAGGGTGACTTTGGGACAGGAACTCTCCGAAGGCTCTGGCCGCCCTGCAGGTGAAGGCGCGGGCCGCGGTCAGGCCGCCCTGGCCCCTCCGGCCCTCCGGGCTGCGGGCGCCCCGCCGCACTCACCGCACTTTGGCCGCCACCGAGGACATAGCCTCGCTCCTCAGCGCCCTCCTCCTGGAGGCGGCGGCGCCCATGGCCGAGGCGGCCGCGCATCCCCGGCTCAGAGCGCGCCCCGCGCCCGCCGCCTCCGCCGGGGCAGCCTCGCCGCGCCGGGGGTCGCGTCCGCGCTCGCCTTCGCCCTCGCGCTCGCGGCCGGGGTCGGGCCCGGGCCCCGCATGGCAGCGCCAGCACTCGGCGTCCCGCAGCACCGGCACCGGCGGTCCGAGCGGCGGGTCCGGGGGCGGGGGCTCCGCCTCCCTGACGTCAGCGGCGGGTGGGGCGAGCAGCCGAGCCGGGAAACTGAGGCCCGGTCACGTGGGCCTCCGGGGTGGGCGCCCGGCCCTGTGCGCTCCCGGGACACCCCGGGGGCAGCGAGGCCCTGGCTGCATCCAGGCCTGGGGGTGCCAGGAGGCCCATTGCCATGCCGCACCTGAGGGGCCGTGGCTTGCGCGGGGAGGCCAGGTCTGCCCCTGCAGTGGCTCCTGCGAGTGGGGCTGGAGGTGCCAGGACCGACAAGTGCCGGCTGCCTGCCTAGCTGGCCCTTGGGGACAGGCAGTCCCAGCTGCGGCTAGGGCCCTGTCGGTCCTTGAGGCTGGGGAGCAGGATTGCCGGGGTCAGCGCAGAGGCCCCCCACGCCCCGTTGGTCAGGCAGCCTGGGGACAGAGTGGAAGCCCCCACGTCCCTTTGGGCAGGCAGCCGCGGGTGTGGGCAGGGTAGCTAGCAGCTCTGGGATCCCTGAGTGACAGTTTACATTCCTGTAACCAGGGAGCAGTGGTCAGGGCACCCCAGTGTCTGCAGGTGAGGCCCTGGTCAGCAGGACCCTGGTCAGCAGGGCCCGGCAGCTGGCCGAGTGGGCGCTGACTGCACAGCGCTCAGGAGATCCAGGTGACATCCTGGGGTGCCTGACAGTGGCTCCTTGTGCGCTGAGAGTCGGATCTGTTGGCAGCAGAGAGAGGTCTGAGGACCAGGGTTAACCCAGAGGCAGGTTGGAGCCCCAGAACCCCCAGCCCCTCAGCCACCCATCCCGAGGCTTTGGACTGAGTGTCTGCAGCTCCCGCTGCAGCCAGGACCCCACGTGTCCACTGTCAGCCTCTGCGAGCTGGAAGCTTTGGAGAGAAGGCCCTGTGGATGGGCAACACCACCCCTTGGCCGCCTGCCGCCAGGCAGGGCAGAGCTTGGGGCTCCCCTAGCCCGGGCAGCAAGCACGTCCCCATGTGTGTGCTAGGCCAGGTTGGCCAAGCTTCCTGGCAGATGACCCCCAGGCCAGGGGAGATGCGTGTGTGGGGCCAGGGACCAGGTCTCCCAGCGTGTTCCTCAGGGCATCGGCGGCCACCATCACCCTCAGCTGGACAGGCCACTTGGGCAGACTCAGTGTGGGACATGATGTCCACCAGCTCAGTGAAGCGGATGGGGGCAGTTGAGGATCTGGGTAAGGCTGGCAGGTGGGCAGGACCCCATGTGCCCTGGCCCTGGGGGGGCACATGGGACATTCTCCACTCACTCCAATGCCTCAAGCTCACTCACACACACATCATGTCCCAACCCACACAACTCACTCTCACTCACTGGCAGGCTGCCTCCTGCCGGCCCCTGCTGCTCTTGCACCATTTTGGCCAGCACCCAACTCCTGCTCACGCAGGCCCGGTGAGCAGGTGCAGGGCCCCTGGGGGGACGTCAGCCCTCACTGGCCAATAGCAAGTACTCACATGGAACTTGGCAAAGGTGCCACCCAGGGCCACAGGTACAATGATTGCTGTCCCCACCTCGCCCAGCTGCCACATGCAGGTCTGCGGCCTCAGCCTCTGCCGCCCAGGTTTGGCGATCCCCCAACCTGTATGTTGCCCCCGGGGGGACAGCCCCTTTCCCCATTCCCACGACCCCCCCAGTTCCAGACGGGCTCAGAGATACCTGGAGAGGATAACCCAGGGTCCTGGACATCTTACCCAGCTGGCCGTGTGCACTCACTATGGCTGTCATGACCAGGGGACCTAGCTTTCCATGGCAACTACCAGACTGTCACCATTGTTGGTAGACCCATCCTCTCCTGGCTGCCCTGTATAATCACCACCTTCACGCCCATGGACTTGGTTACATCTGCTGGGGATCCTGGGTGCCAACCAGGATAAGAATGTAGAGCTGGGGGCTGGGGCCAGAGCCAGGGGAGATGGCACAGTGGGATAGCTGGGGCACCAGCCTGAGCCCGGTGCTGGTGCTGGGGTGCAGGACTGGAGCTGGGGATAGGGCACTTCTCATCTTACTACTATTCAAGGCCCCAAATGGGGCCTTGGACCTCCATCGGTGCCCATGTGCCAAGCTCAGCAGGCAGCCATGTAGACAGACTGCACACTGGCCCCTGGCCACAATGCCACAGGTGACAGGTGCAGTCTTCCTTGCCAGCAGCAAACCTGTCGTCTGCGGGCACTGGGCCCTGGCTGTGGGCACAGATGGGGCCTAACTGCCTCCCAGTTGTCTGCCTGGCCTCTGTCCTGGGTGCTGCAGAGTTCATAGGCAGAGTCATATGCCAGCATGTCTCCTGCTAGGCGTTAGTGTGTGTGAGTGTGTGTGTGTGTACCCGTGCCCTGGAGTGTGAGTGTGTGCGTACCCATGTCCTGGAGTGAGTGTGCCTGTGCCCTGGGGTGTGTGTGCCCTGGGGTGTGTGTGTACCCGTGCCCTGGGGTGTGTGTGTACCCATGTCCTGGAGTGAGTGTGTGCCCGTGCCCTGGAATGAGTGTGTACCCGTGCCCTGGAGTGTGTGTATTTGTATACCTGTGCCCTGGAGTGTGTGTGTGTGTGCCTGTGCCCTGGAGTGTATGTGTTTGTATACCCATGCCCTGGAGTGTGTGTGTGCCCGTGCCCTGGAGTGTGAGTGTACCCATGTCCTGAAGTGTGAGTGTGTGTGTGCCCGTGCCCTGCAGTGTGTGACACATGCATCTGCATTTTCTCTGAGCTGTACCAACGCCTGCTCTGATGGCACTGCGACATTTTTCCTGGCACACGCCAAGCAAAGCGTGATGGCTGCAGCCTCCCGGTTGGAGGCGGCCGTGGCAGGCGGCCATGGGGCGGAGCAACTGTGGCCGCCTTGCTTCAGCAGGTGACTGACTTTGGGGTCACGGCGGCCACGTAATCCTACCCCTACACATTGACATGCACATGCTGCCACAGGGAGTCTAGGAGTAAAAAGTGGCTGCACTGGCACTCCTGAGTCAGACCTGGTCAGCTCTCCTCTGAGAGCGCCAGACTGCCACCCCACCCCACCCTAGCTGTGTCTGTCTGCCACTGGGGTCCCAGTACCAGGCCCCGCCCCTCCTCCTGCCCCTTCCTCTCTCTGTCCCCCAAGGCAGTATTTCCTGTGTGTTTGCCTGTACGGCAGAAGCTGGGGTGCCCGTGGTAGTGAAGTGGGGCACCAAGGTGCTGTGTGGACAGGTCCAGGGAACCCTCTGCTACTATGAACGCTGCTGGGGAGGCCAGCCCCTGGGTGCTGAGGGCGACCTCAGGGCCCCGGGCGTCCGTGTGCAGTGTGGTCAGGAGCCGCCACTCCTCCTCCGCAGTGGGCAACCCCAGGGACCCTCTGCCTGTGGGTCAAGCAGAGCCAGTGAGGCCAGGCTCCAGTCCTGCGAGTCAGAGCAGGACAGAAATGGCCGTGGGGGACAGATGCAGGCGGGGCAGGACGGGGCTGTGTGCTCTGGCAGGGACCTCGGCAAGTGTGGGCATGTGGTTTACTGAGCCTCACTCCGCCCTCCCGCAGCGGTCCTGAGCACCAGCATGGAGGGGCAGGGACAAGGGAAGGTGGGCCCCCACTGGGACCTCTGCTCATAGGACATAGGACACAGCCTGTGGTCACAGCCCTGGGCAGGAGGCGGGAGTGGGGGCTGGGTGACCGTCCCTGGAGCAGCAGCAGTGCCCTGGGCAGGGAAAGTTACAATCCCCTCTCTCCGAGGGAACTTGGCCCTCTCCTATCTGGTTATACTGCCCAGTGCTCCTTGGCCAAAGCTGCATCCCAGCCTCTGTTCCAGGGACCCCGTGGCCATCACTGCCCCTTTCCAGGGGAACCAATAGAGGCCCAAGGGTTTCTGCTCCACATGATGGTGAGAGTCTCCCCAGGCCCCCTGCACCTGCTTCCTGGATGTGAGCAGCAGAGGATGGGGCCCCACACCCCAGCCTCCCATCATCCCCGCTTCCCTGCCGGCCCCTCCCCACTCCCTCCCTGCCCCTCCTCCCTTCCCTGCCTGGTCCTCCCCCTCCTCCCTTCCCTCCTTGCCCCCCTTCCCCTCCCTTCTCTGCCCCTCCTCGCCCCCTCCCTGCCCATCCTCCTCTCCTCCTCCCTGCCCGGCCTCCTCTTCACCTCCCTGCCACCAGAGGACCAGGGGACACCATGGGTTCAGAGAGGGGCACTGACTGCTTGTCTGGGCAGGCACAAACCCCAGGACTCTCTCCAGGGCCCTGCCACAGGTGAGGTTCAGCCTGGTGATGGCTGTGGGTCTACACATCCCCATCCTAATGGTGTCCCGGGGGGTGGGGCTATGGCTCCCGCATGTCCCCAGGGGGCGGGGCTATGGCTCCCGCATGTCCCCCCAGGGGGCGGGGCTAAAGCTTGCCCCACCCACCCTTGTGTGCCTTTCTGAACAAATGCAGTGGAATACCACACGGCGTCCATCAGAGGGAATGGACACGTCTAGCTGGCTCCTGGCTATGGCCACTAGTTACAGCCTCCTGCTGGTGTGCATTCATGGTTGGTGGTGACAGCTTTAAGGGTCAGGCACCTGGAGCCCCCATTTCCTGGCTCCTGCTACCCCACCATGAGGAGAGGGGGTGGGGGCTGGGGGACCAGAGGCTGGCGTGCTGTCCAGAGCGGCCAAGCACAGACACTGCTTCATGCTACGGTGGCTCAGCTACAGGTTTGCCTCCAGGAAGGCCGCCCTGATAGCCGTCTCTGAGGACCAGCAAGGCAGACCAGCATCTCTTCCCACTTCCAGCTCACAGAAGTGGGATCAAGCACTGTGGGGCAAGAGGAGTGCCTGGGCCAAGGTGACCACTT